GGTATAGCCCCCAGAAGCTCAGAGGTTTTAATATTTAACTACGGTCAGATGAGCATTCAGGAGCCGTCTTAGGGCCCTTGGTGTGGTCCAGGGGGCAGAGCCCCTGGAAGCTCAGGGGTTTTGGGTATTTAATTAAGGTCAGATGAGCATCCAGGGGGCCGCCTTAGGGCCCTTGGTGAGGTCCAGGGGGCAGAGCCCCCGGAAGCTCAGGGGTTTTAGGTATTTAATAACGGTCAGATGAGCTTCCAGGGGCCCGCCTTAGGGCCCTTGGTGGGGTCCAGGGGGCAGAGCCCCCGGAAGCTCAGGGGTTTAAGGTATTTAATTAAGGTCAGATGGGCATCTAGGGGACCGCCTTAGGGCCCTTGGTGGGGTCCAGGGGGCAGAGCCCCGGAAGCTCAGGGGTTTTAGGTATTTATTTACGGTCAGATGAGCATCTAGGGGCCCGCCCTGGGGCCCTAGGTGGGGTCAAGGGGGCAAAGCCCCCGGAAGCTCAGGGGTTTTAGGTATTTAATTAAGGTCAGATGAGCATCCAGGGGGCCGCCTTAGGGCTCTTGGGGGGGGGGGCAGGGGGCAAAGCCCCGGAAGCTCAGGGGTTTGAGGTATTTAATGACGGTCAGATGAGCTTCCAGGGGCCCTCTGTAAGGCAATCGACGTGTTCCAAGGGGGGTATAGCCCCCAGAAGCTCAGAGGTTTTAATATTTAACTACGGTCAGATGAGCATTCAGGAGCCGCCTTAGGGCCTTGGTGTGGTCCAGGGGGCAGAGCCCCTGGAAGCTCAGGGGTTTTAGGTATTTAATTAAGGTCAGATGAGCATCCAGGGGCCGCCTTAGGGCCCTTGGTGAGGTCCAGGGGGCAGAGCCCCGGAAGCTCAGGGGTTTTAGGTATTTAATAACGGTCAGATGAGCTTCCAGGGGCCCGCCTTAGGGCCCTTGGTGGGGTCCAGGGGGCAGAGCCCCGGAAGCTCAGGGGTTTTAGGTATTTAATTAAGGTCAGATGGGCATCTAGGGGGCCGTTAGGGCCCTTGGTGGGGTCCAGGGGGCAGAGCCCCGGAAGCTCAGGGGTTTTAGGTATTTATTTACGGTCAGATGAGCATCTAGGGGCCCGCCCTAGGGCCCTAGGTGGGGTCCAGGGGGCAGAGCCCCCGGAAGCTCAGGGGTTTTAGGTATTTAATAACGGTCAGATGAGCTTCCAGGGGCCCGTCTTAGGGCCCTCGGTGGGAACCAGGTGGCAGAGCCCCCGGAAGCTCAGGGGTTTTAGGTTTTCAATAACGGTCAGATGAGCATCCAGGGGCCCGCCTTAGAGCCCTTGTTGGGGTCCGGGGGCGGAGCCCCCGTGAGCTCTGGGGTTTTAAGCATTTAATTACGGTCAGATGAGCATTTTTTATACCTTATTTGTGACATTAGCAGGTCACTTATTTTTTTTTTCCGTCTTTCTTTTGTTTCTTCTCTTTAACATACTTTTTCAAAAAGGAGGGGGGGGGGGGGGAGGGGCTCGAGCCCAACCACTTTGCAGACCATGACACAAAGGCTTCTATAAATTAGCGTATTTTGGGAATTTCTTATCTTCCAACAAACGCATAAAAAGGTATGACTTACAAAAAAAATGGAGAAAAAATGTCGGAAAATCATGTCACAACATTAACATTTGTAAATCACTTGTTTCGAATAAGAAATACATACCCCCCCCCCCCCTTCCCTCCATCAGTACGCCAGCGTTCAGAGGCTCATGTCTTCTCACCCCTATAACAACAAAAAAAACGGACACGCTTTCCCATTCTCGCACAATATGTCCACGATATGCGTGTATCGCTATTATAGAGACCTCCATTGATAAATACCGTATAGGTGGCATGCGCAATGTTTATGAAATTTAATTCCTGCGAACTTTCCTTTTCTTTGAATGGAATTGTATAATTGATTTAATTCAGGTTTTTATTATTGTTACGTTCTTTTGGTTTAAAAATACAAACCATGTTTACTCCTTTACTGTTTTTTTTTGGAGGGGGGGGGGGGGGGGCAAAACGCATTTTTGCCCCCCCCCCTCCAAAAAAAAACAGTAAAGGAGTAAACATGGTTTGTATTTTTAAACCAAAAGAACGTAACAATAATAAAAACAGGGGGGGGGGGGGGTAACTGCCCCCCTGCCACCCCCCCCCCCCACTTCCGGCGCCTATGGTAGGAAGTGTCTTAATTTGTTAAGGATACCAGTGTTGCAAGCAAAGATTTTGCAGATATTGTCAGTATGCGCTTTCCAAGATAGTTTTTCATCAATAACTAGCCCCCAAATTTAGTTGATCGGGCCCTTTGAATGACAGTACCATCAAAATGTATACAATTAGGCAAAGTTGCAACCTTATTACTAAATAGCATGTAACTAGGTTTGTCTAAGTTAAGAGACAGTTTGTTTGCTTTTATAAGCTCCTATTCAGCGTATTTTTCCTTTCTATCAAAGTGATGAATAACAAAAAAATGAATATCGCAATGGACCATGGCCTAAAGCTGAACGATTAAATAGGCCTGAACTCTAGCTGTAACTTAAAAGGGTCGACAGTCAAGGTCACTTCAAGGTCAAACTTTAAGGAAGTTTGCCCTCTCAATGATTTTGTTCAATCTATGCATTTATTTATTTTTCTACCTAGTTTAATCAGTTTAGGTGAAGAAATGTCAGTAATAGAGATCTTCCAGACCGAGTCTGCGACGACCCCTTCAGACACAATATAGTGATAAATATTCAAAGGGTCGAAATTTTTATTGAGGCATAATATAATTTTCAAAAGTAATCGCTAAGTTCTTAGCTTAAGTATGAATTTTATTTGCCATTTGTATAGCTTGTTTGAATGTATAGCATAAAAAGCATAGCTACCAAGTTGGAAAACAATGATGCCGAAAAAAAACTCTCTTTCTCTTCCTCTCTATCTTTCTCTATCTCTCAGTCTCTTATTTTTCTTTCTTTCTCTCTCTCTCTTTCTTTAAGATCACAGATACCACAATTCAGTTTTGTATTCATAATTATTTCAGAAGGTGGGGTCGGATGTTAACTCCTGGAGTCGCCTCGAGCCCCCCCCCCAAAAGTAGCTAAACCTAATACTTCTGCATGTCTAAACAGCAGAATGAATGCTGATCAAAATGGGGAAAAGAAAGATGCTCTGGACCTACTTTGACATAATAGTATAACGGACGTGTACAAAGCAAATCCCGCACTCGTTTTACATGGGAAATTCTTTATTTTTAGCAAGAAAAAAATATGAAATTTGTGGAAGGTACTTTGTTGTTGGGGGAGGGGTATTTCTTTCCCCGCTCGTATTAAGTTAGAGCATCTCTTTTTCATAGCTAAGGTCTATTCAAATAGCCCGCCACTGTATTTTTATTATTTTATTAACATGAACAAATAAATATCTACACAAAAATCTTTAAAAAAATTAACAGATCGGAAGAAAAACACATTTGACGGCAATAATGCACGGCAATATGATAACTTTTAATATACATTGTAGTTTCAGTTTCAAGGCATTACCAAAGGAAATTAAAGGTCTTTGAAGACAATGCTGGACTTTGTGTCCGTTTTGATGCATTTCAATATTACCGATTGTTTTATGCCTTTTTAAAGTTTAACTCATTCCTCGGAAGGGCTTGTGAATGGTTTGAAATGTAGCTAGACGGAGAAACCGACACTTTTACAAAAGTAACTGTTCTAGAGGGCGGCTTGGTTGCTCAAGCCCCCCCCCCCCCAAAAAAAAATGCTAGTCACATGTAGGTAATGAATGGAAGAACTATAAGCCCCAAAGATTCTTCTAGAACCATGAGCTGCTCATGGTTGATCGATGTACATATATTTGTAATTGTATATTTGGGGGCTCATGTCAGATGTGTGATTATTTCATACATATGTTTGTAGTTTTTTGTCTTTATATTGTATTTATTGCTGTATTTTGTGTTTATCGCTGTATTTTGTGTTTATCGCTGTATTTTGTGATATCTCGAATTCATATATGCTCAATAATATAAATAATATAAATTATAATATTCGGGGAACTTTTTATACAAAGCCACCATGGGCCTTTCCTATGTTCTCCAATTTCATTTTAAACTATTGTAATAATTGACCATTCCTTGTATGTATATATACTTGTATGTTTATTTGCATTTGCTGTGTTTTTTATGGAAATGAAATAAATAAACGAACTTGAACTTGAACTTCATTTATTTAAAAAGAGGCAATGGCAGGGGGGGGGGGGGAGATTGAAAAATATTATCAACAATGAAGAAGTTGAATTAGCAGAGGGGGTAACAGGGAGAGAAGGGGTGGAAAAGAGAGATAGAGAGATGAGAAAGTGTGTGTGTGTGTGAGAGAGAGAGAGAGAGAGAGGGGAGGGGCAGGGTGGAGAGGGTAGGGTTGAGAGATGGAATGAAAGATGAAGGAGCCAGAACTTCAAGAGAAACACAGTGTGTGAGCAGGATGGGAGAAATTGCACATAGGGAGTGAGAGGAAGGGTTTAGTATATAGGGGAGAATTGAGGATAGGGCAAAAGGGGGGGGGGGGGTGGGGTGGGAAGGGAGGAGCAGGACTTTGTTCCTTACACCAGTAAAATAACCTCAAGATTTGTTTAAGTTTTTTTTTTATACAAGTGAATAACATGTACAATTGACATATAAATTATGTTTATGTACTTTAAGTTTACTTTGTTGCTCAGTTATATATACTGCAAATGTTTTTTTTTGTTTAATCATGTTTATGTATAAGGCATTAATATTGAAAACGTTTATTTATTTTATTCAATTGTATGTTGTTCTTATTTGTATTCTGTTTGGAGGAATAAAACAAAATTACTATGTTTGTCTGTACATAAGGTTGAAGAGGTCACTCCACACATGAAACAGAGTCTACACCAACTGCAAACAGACCAAATTGTCTGTTGTCTGTCTAGTGTCCGTCTCGTTGGTGTGACCGTATCAATCATCATCGAAGCCACTTCTACACAAATCAAGAAAGCAGAACAAGTACTGTAAATTTAGAATCATTTATATCATTCAAATTATATACATGAACATTGGCATGAGAAACAAATTGTTAACATCATCCACTACAATAAAATAAATACATTCCAAACAATAAAGACAATCCAAAAATATCCAAGTAACCAGGCGGAAGTAGTTCCTATCAACCAGTTGCGACTTTCGAGAAAAGTTTGTGCCACTAGCATCATTATTGCAGGTTATAAGATATCATTGGAGTCTTGTGCAATGTTTGAAATGTTCAACTTAAGGGTATAGCTCTTGTAATGGAATAGAGTGAAAGAGAGAGAGAGGGCTAGATAAAGAGAGAGAGAGAGAGAGAGAGAGAGAGATACATACATACATGTATAATTATTGTCAATATAAAGACAATTTAGTAGCACAACATTTCAGGTAAGAATTTGCAGAGAAACTTCTTATTAACAGGAACAAGCTACACATTTTAAGCACCTAAATTAACACTCCACAAAGAAACATGAGGCAAAAGGGCATTGGTAGGAGAAACTCTAATGCACTAAAGCATTAGGAAATCCCTGCAAGTGCCTTTCTGCTGGCACATAGCAAATTATACAGTCAACTGAGTCCAGCACACAACACTAAAAAGTAATTTCTACATACCGGTATTGCTTAAAAATATCAACAAGACACGATTCACATAAACATAAGTGTTCATATCATTATTCCATCTCAGCTATGTTCGTCTATAAACTCATATATTTCCTCATGAAGCCATATTGTAATTTATATCTGGTAACCTCTCAGATACATCAAGACAGTTGGGAATCAAGTCACTAGGAATGGAAATGCATATCAAAGCAATTTTGGAGGTTGAAAGTAGGCGTATATTTTCTAACCAATGTCACTAGTGATTACCCATGTTAGAGAGAATTTAGTTATGTACCCCCCCCCCCCCCCCCCCCCCCATCCCCCATTTTTTTTGGAATTCTTCCGTGCTTGCTTTTAGCACAAAGGGTGTTTAATATGCACTGGAGAAAAGAAGTGATCGCATCTGTTCACCAAACCAAGGAGATATAATCTGGCATTTAGATACTGCACTGAATTCTACATTCAAGTACTATGTGTGCTGTAAGAACAACGTGTTGAATTAGATGTGTGAGATTATCATAACATAAAATGTTAGGAGTCATCAATGCCAAGCAGTTTAGATAACTACATGTAATACAATACACACTGGAAAATTTGTCATTCATGAGAATCATTATATAACACTTGAACATTAACACAGTTCAATGACACATCCAAATCCAAAAGGCTTTTGCCTGTAATTTACCCACTTTGTTGTCTGCACTTTAGACATCTTCCTCAGATGAGTATTTGCTAAATAACAGTAGGCTGTCAATTTTGCAATCACCAGAAAATACTTCTGTTTTGCTACTACACATCTGAGAAAGGGTTATGAGTGCTTAGCGACATAGAAACTGTGTTTAACAGGTATATATACATGTAGACACGATATACCTTTAGGATGTGTCATATATCTATATTTCAATGATTCCATTCCATCTTGATGAATTTTGTGACCAATAACATTGCCATTTTAAGTAGATTCTGGGCACTACATAATCCAAACATACATATTGAAATATGATTTCAGTGATATTCTCCTATTCTTCAAAGTGCACGATTGGTACTTAGCACAAGATGGTTAGACCTTTCCAATTTATTGGACAATTTTGTACATTATCTTTGAAATTCTCAAAATTGATACACAATGTTTAGCACATACACATTTACTGTGAGTAGAACTTTGCGACTCAATGATTTATTACCTTTCCAAGCTTGACAATTGACCTCATTTGCATTCAAGAATACAGAGCAGCACATAATTTATTCGTAATTTGCATCCCCTTTCATTATTTCAACCTGACCTTTAATTTATAACATCATGAACTTATTACTTTGGAACAGAGACACTGACAAAAATAACATCACTTAAAATTATGGCACCATGGTTCATTTATTATGAGTCTACAAATCAAAAATTCTCTCTCTCTACCTATCTCTATAGGGCAGCGATGCATTTTTGAAGATGACCTGAAAGTTCCAATTGCCTTAAACTTCCAACATCATGAACTTACTTTAGAACAGATATTGACACAAATCTAATCGCATAACATAATTCTGGCACCATGCTTAATTTATTATGAGTTTACAAATGAAATAATTCTCTCTCTCGCTCTCTCTTACTCTACAGGACAGCAGGAATTGTATTTTGGGACGTTGATGGAAAGGGAAAAAGAAAATTACAGTTCTTTCTTGGAAGAATAGGGGCCTGTGGAATGCTCGTCAGGCACGTCTTCCGCGAGGTTTCCTTTCTTGTAGAATCCCAGCTCCTCGGTCATCATGGCATTCAGCTCTGCTCGCTTCATCTTGGACAGGTCAATCCTCTATACACGATGGGATGGAATGGAGGAGGGGGAGGGAGAGGAGAGAGAGAAGAAAAAAGGGGAGAGGGAAACCGGTCACATTAATTTGTATACTGACATCATTTCTTCATGACTTTTGCCTGCTAAAACATTTGCTTGTCAGACTGCACATGTAGATACATTCTTAATAATGACATACGTGGTATAATCTTTTATTAGAAAAGACAAGGTATTGTGAGTTAAAAATGGTTTTTACATAATTACAGGCTGAATAACTGAATTCTATAGTGAATGTAAACAAATCTGACACTTTTTTATTTTTATTGAGAAAATACTTTTAATCTTTTGAGAGAATAATGTGTTTGCTTTGGTGAAACATACATATAAGTGAGACAAAAAAGAATTGTAGCTTAAACTATTTTCCCCATTTCTACTTCTTGGTAATCCTAAACTAAACAAAATAGTTCAAAGCAAATTCAAAGCAAATACAAAGCAAAATATTATTTTGGAACATGCAACTATAAAACAAATATTGCTATAAATACACATCATCTGAGATTTCAACATCTGTTTACATCTACATTTTCATGGGATCCTTATCAATGAAGTGTTTGTTTATATATTCTGTAAGTTGTGTGCAGATGTATAACCCAATCAGATGCAAGTGATGAACCTCAGAATTGTATCTGACATATAGGCAAGACTGTGTCAATAAATTGGTCTAATGGTCAACTCTTTGGTCTTGCCATGATTTGCCTAACGTTTGCCTAATTATATGCCTATACAAAGATCCAGGGTCGATCAAAGGGTCACATCCAGAGACACATCTTTAAGATTGTAATGTCAACTCTAGGAATATTGCAGTCATTTTATGCATTGAAGACGCAGAGTTTTCATTTTGAATGGGTAAAGGTTGATATATACAATCAATTACATATACAAGCTGTATATGAAGTAGAGCATATGATCCAAATAATTTAATCCCTCAAAATTCTTACAAGCACATTTTCTTTTTTTTTTTTGGGGGGGGGGGGGGGGGGGGAGTAGAGGGCATTGACTAAAACCCAAAAATATCTGGCAAGCAAAAACAAAAAAAGACACCCCACCCCAAGGGCCTTGTTTCATAAAACTTGTTACCAATAACAAATGCTGAATTTCTATGACAAATCTGCTCTCAGCCATTCAAATGCCATGATTTCAGTAGCTTATAACAATCCTTGTAACTTGTTATTAATAACCAGTTTTATGAAACAGGGCCCAGAGCCCCTACACTCACCCGCACTATGTTGCCCGACTCATCGAGAAGCAACAGATCAGGATTGGCCCCAGGCACTGGCTTGAAGTTTACATTATGGCTGGATGCAGATAGGTTAAGGCTCAAAACAATATCATCAAAATACATGCACTTACTTACTTTCAACTTAAAAGTATAGACCAGTTCTGGTCATGTGATTGCATTGTGAAAGAAACGTTGTGGAATAGATCAGAAAGGGTTGAGCATCTAGCATATAAGTATTGTTGTGTTCCGCAAGGTTCTGGAATCATCAAAATGATAAGAAATTGGGCCCAGTCTTGGTAAAGTTACACAGAAAGATGTATATGGGACTACGCAATATCTATCCAGGCCCGATAGCTATGATAATTTACCAAATATTATAGTAGGCGGTTTCCTGGCAAAATTTGTACCATTACGTATTAGTCAAAACGTTCACATGATTGGTAATAAGAACTTCCATTTCATTTTTTGAGGGGGGGGGGGGGTTTCCAAAACTTGTCTATACCTTTAATACTGTACTTACTTTCAAATTAAATCAGAAAAATGTATACAATCACAAATAGAAGACCACATTTCAATGGTTTCATCAAACTGATCACAGACAAAGAAAGTAATAACTACCATAGGATCTTAGAAGTAAAGGCAACGGCAAGGATAAACACTAAACAAAATCAAACAAATTGGGATAGAATACCTTTATGAAGTGCTAACGAGGTCCATTCATGCAATAAAAGACTTTCACAAGCTGCACAAATTTCATGTTGTGATTCAGTTGATTTTGTGGCATATGTAGCTTTTGTGAATCTGGGCCCAGCTTTATAAAACTTGTTATCAATAACAAATACAACATTTCTGTGACAAAATTTGCTCTCAGCCAATCAAATGCCATGATTCCAGTAGCTTATAACAGTTTTTGTAAATTGTTATTGATACTGAAACAGGGTACTGAACCAATTGCAGAATCCATGAACACTCCCGGGGGTGTTTCACAAAGATCCTAAGTAGAACTTATCTCTAAGTTGGACTTAAAAATTATGGACAGCCATTGGAGTCTTAAAATGAAATATATTCAAAAGCAGAAATTCAAGTATTTTAGACTTTTTATAAATTCCACATCCAGAACATGAAATCTCCTTGATGATAAAAAATATGAATGATTTGAATAAACAATAAATGCCTTTTAAAATAACTTTTACAAAATATTTTCATAGATGCTAATGGCTTTCCATAATTTTTAAGTCCAACTTAGAGTTAAGTTCGATTTAGAATCTTTGTGAAACACCCCCTGGTTCTACAGTACTTTAAATAGTAAATCATTACCTGTACAGCTACAGTTATTCCTGTCAAAGGAAGTGCTCATTAAAAGACAAAACACAAAACTACTAAGGCCCATACAGAGGTTAAACTTCGGCAGATTTCTTTTATGACGACGTAAAGCGTAATATGCTTCAAATTTCTGAATCTTTTAACAGAGCTCATTGAATATATGCAAGAGTCATTTGTTGAGCACAGTTGCCATTCATTGCACATGTGAACCTTTTTTTGCTGCTGTTTATCGCGCCAAATCTGAACAAGTCTTTACCATTGTTGCTGGTGCTACTGCTGCTACTACCACTACCACTACTACTACTACTACTACTACTACTACTACTACTACTACTTCTACTACTTCTTCTACTACTACTACTACTACTACTACTACTACTACTACTACTACTACTACTACTAGGCGTTGTGTAATCCAGCTAAAAAGTGGAAGTTACAAACTGATTCAGCCGAGGACGCAGGTTCGAAACTGAGTCACGTCTTTCGGATGGTGACGTTTAAAGGTCGGTCCCAGACGTAAATAATCATATCTGATTGATACACGTCTGTAAAAACCCAATACACACACACACACACACACTACTACTACTACTACTACTACTACTACTACTACTACTACTACTACTTCTACTACTTCTACTACTACTACTACTACTACTACTACTATTACTTCTTCTTCTACTACTATTACAACATGTATTTTTACCACATGTACTACTACTACTCTTAAAATCACCACAATCACTACCAATACATCACCATGATATAGTATGATTATGCTACTTCAGTAACATTCTGAAAACCTTTCAGTACACAACCTAGGTTAAGCAGACATAATAATAATAATAATAATAGGAATTTCTATAGCACCATCTATCTAGACAATTCTATTCCGAGGCACATTTATTATTACCCTGGCTTTAGCCTAGCAGCCGTTTATACAGCGCTCCAGCATTTCAAGGAATTAATTCCTGCCAGGTACCCATTTACATCACCTGGGATGAGTGTGGCAAATGTAGATCAATGTCTTGCCAAAGGACATTAGTGCTGCGGCGGGACTCGGACCGCGGACCTTGCGATCGACAGTCCGGCGACGTATCCACTCGACCACGACACCTCTACATGATGTACACATCCGTATTAAGGATACAAGAAATGGAGGTCTTCATAGATGAAAGCTTTGGCCTCGGGCCATCTCTTTAAACATCATCCTGTACAACTCTGTTTAAGAATGATATTCAAAAAGGTTCCCATAATACGAGGATATTCCACCTTTCACTTCATTTCACGATGCAAATTTATGAACTACATGCAGTGCTGTAGCTTGCAACCCAAAATATTCTTCTGATCTGACTTGACAACTTCTACCTCTTCAATATACCACTGGATTCATGGAACTTTAGGTTTGTCGGTCTGCAAAAGGGACACACTGTCTTTCATCTTATTTTGTTGGCTGCATCCTTTACCTCCAGTCTGGTGATAGACTTCGCAAGTCTGAGTCCAGAGGGTGTTTCTCAAAGATCCTAAGTGAAACTTAAGTCTAAGTTAGACATAACATTATAGAGAGCCATTCGTAGCCTTAAAATAAAATATACCGGTAGTCAAAGCAAAAATTGAAGTATTTTAGACACTTCATAAATTCCACATCAAGAACATGAAATCTCCTTGATAATAGAAAATATGAATGATTTGAATCAACATTTTATGCCTTTTAAAATAACTTTTACAGAATATTTTCAAAGATGCTAATGGCTTTCCATAATTGTTAAGTCCAACTTAAAGATAAGTTCAACTTAGGATCTTTGTAAAACACCCTCTGTTTGGGTTCCAAGCTACAACACTAAGTAGTATCAATATGCCTCAATGCACTCTAAAAATGCATGACGTTCATGAAAATTTGTTAAGAGTCATAACCCCGCCCCCCCCCCCCACTCCGAGAACAGACGGACCCCATGCATGTTACCAAAATGCCCGGTAAAGGGGTACTTTTCGTGCGACAAAGTCCGGCCCGAGAATTGTACAAAAAGGGGTGTATTAATTTTCACCCGGAGATTTCTTTAAAAAGGGGGTGTTTTTTTCTTTTTTCTCTTATCTCTTTGGACTCCTGAGAAATTATTCCGGATTTAGGGGGGTACATTGAGCATTTTTCATGATTTAGGGGGGTCTCCAAGGCAGGAAAAGCCTGTGAAAGGGGGGTTCGGAAATGTTGGCAGTCCTCAGATAGGGGGTGCTTTAAAAAAGAGGGAACAAGCATATGCGTACCCTAAATAACACAGAGTGGGGGGGGGGGGGGGGGGGGGGGGCCAGGGTCATAACTCATAACATATGTTAATGTACCAAGATGCAACTACATTTATTGTTTAATGTTTGTGCATGCATTACAGCCAGTGCCCTATGTCCTGTCATGAACATTACAAAGTCTTGTAGTTTTAGTAAATTTTATGCCCCATACTCTACTTGTCACATTTCTCTGACTTTTCATTAATGGCACATACAATGCTGGCAATGGAGTGGAGTATCGAGAACAATTGTTTGATTTGATTTGATTTGATTTATCGGTTTCTGCATCTTTTTTTCATCATACATTTTCATGAACATAATCTGGTTTGATACAATATTTTAAGTGTATCTAATTTTATACAAATAAACGAAATTAAACAAATTCCTGCTTCACACCGAGCCGGATGACAAATTGGTTTTTGTTCCCTTTTAATTCTGTTATTCTCGTCTCACATACATTCAGTGATTTCTATTTGAAAGTAAATGTATTATTATTTAATCTATGAACAATATCACACAGTGGAAGAAACGATTACAGTATAATAGTCTATGGTGAATAATGTCCTTTCTCCGTCAACCAGTTAACATGAACATTTTAAACACTAGACAGCTTAACAGTAGATTAGAGGTTTGAGCTGAAAGGATACTAATAAGGGATGTCCTCATTGATGAATTGCTTCACTTCTGGAAGCTTATTCAAACGTCACCCAGTGCAGCTCTGGAAAATGAAAGGTAAGATACAAACTTTACAGAAACATGGCGATTTCATGATTGGTTTTAAGTAACAGTAGCTGTCGGCAGAATACCAATAATGGCTTGTAATTGAGACAGGGGGTAGGGAATGGGCTACAGCTCCCAATTTCTTTTAGTGGACACATTTTGCAATGCTGATAGATATGAAAATATCTAATCCCATATGCTACCCCCTCCCCCAGCCCCCCCCACCACTTTAAAAGAGTTACGTTCTGCTGCCCTTGTAAAAGTACCTTCATTCAGGGTTACGGAGTATACATTTTTTTTTCAAAAAAAAATTGAGGGGGGGTTTAACCCTCAAAACATCCCCCCCCCTGCATACGCGTCTGCCGTTCATTTTAATTGTAATTACTGTATGTACATGTATACAGGCATCTGTATGGTTTGGTTTGTTTGTATTATCAGGGCACTATCTCTTTGATGGACCACCCTGATCAAAGATGCGGAATAATTCAAAGAAATACAGGTAAATAAATAAATGAATGAAAAACTAAGTAGGCCTACGTAGTTAATAATTAAGTACCAAAAGTGACAAGAAGATAGACCTGGAAGTATTCTTCTAGAAAAGGTAAAGAATAAAGGCTAAAGCCTATAAGCCTATAATTTTGTATAAAGATAATAAATAAAAACATGCTCATGTCAGCATACTGCATGCTACTTGCTTAGCCTATTTATTAGCTAGATCTAGTCTGATGATAGATTTGTCGAACCAACATCATGCTTTTCAGACAATTACCTCTCCCATGCAGAGAATGGATGGCATCGGGATCTGACGAAGGGTCGAATTACATGTAGATCTAGATCTACATCATAGTTTTCATACATGCTATTTTGTTATCCCTTTGTTTGTGTTTGTGCAGGGTCTGGGAGAGAGGTCGAGAATGGGTGATTTCAAGTTCGGTGTCGAAAGCTGGTGCATGTTGTTGACGTTATGAAAACACCGAAACCAGCCACAAACACCAAACTTGAAGTCATGCTGGTGTTGAGGTCGGCCTCTGAAAATATGATGCATTTTCGCTAGACCTCTAGGGTGTTTAATATCGTCTGCCTAGCTGAACTACCATCATTATGCTCGCGCTCGCAATCCGTGTTGACGTTTTACATCAATGTAATTTTCCCATTCACTAGATCTAAGCATGCTAAGACCTAACGCCCCTACCCTATCTATTTTGTTAATCATGGTAATTGGCATTTATAATCGATAATTACCTCTACTCTGGCACTCATCACTTGCCCATCACCCTCAGCTGATACATGAATGCCTGCAAGGAAAACAATTCCTAAGATTGCGGCGAAGAGCCGCTCTTTCGCCATGTTGCTTGTCGTTGATCAATTCACAGCACACAGAATTAATTCAGAAATGACGTCGTGTCGCGTCGCGTCGACTGGTACTGAATGGGTGTAGTGCGCCAGGGTCGCGGCAGGGTGACACGTCAGTGTACCTGACTGGTCAGCTAGCTCAGCTCAGCCGCGACCTGCTTAGGGTGTAGACAAACTGACAAAATAAAAAGATAAAAATCACAGCAGGATATACATATTAAAGCCACAATTATAGGCAGGATCCTGATATTTAAGCCTATCTCAATAAATCATATTAAGCGTATCTCCTTCGAACAATCGTAACCGTTCAATAAATAACAGCTTATGATTAATTTTATGTTACAGATATATATTTACAGATATGTAGTTACGAAAATAACATTGAAAAAAAAAACTTAGTCAATATAATGGGAAGGAATGTATTACATGTTTTCCTAGCATGAAACAAGCGTCGCAATAAAAGCAATGCAAATTAGAAAATAATTCTAACATCAATCAATAAGTTAATAAATTAACAGGGCAGAGGCACTCATATTTCATTGGACTTTAATAATAAGTCTTATAAAAATCTCTTTTCATTACCAGCTCTTTTTACATGCCTGCTGCCAATATTTCCCAAAAATTCATTGAAAAAATAAACTTTTACGTTTGTTATAAAATCATCGGATTTGTGAGAATAAACATACGGTAGGTCTATTCTCAGTACTTTTACGAATACAAAACAAATAAACAAACAGATACGTCCATTTGGGGGATGACTGAAGACTAACTGATTGTTCCTTCTATTTTCTTCTTCTTCTTCTTCTTTTTCCTATACTCCTTCTTCTTCTTCTTCTTCTTCTTCTTCTTCTTCTTCTTCTTCTTCTTCTTCTTCTTCATCATCACCATGCAACTTCTTCTTTATCATCATCATCTTCTTCTTCTTCTTCTTATTCTTTTTCTTCTTCTTCTTCATTATCATCATTATCTAATTCTTCTTCTTCTTCATCTTTTCGACTTTTGATTGGGTGTGTGTCTGTGAGGGGGGGGGGGGGTATCCCACTCCTGGCCCCTGTAGCTACCCCACTCAAACAGACTATCTACATTTTCTTTAGAGTTTGTTTTAATTGATTTGCAATCCAGTCGAGCATAATTATGCATTTTACAACACTAAGAGTATGTCACAAATAAATATCGTGTAAAAAGTATAGCAGAACATAGCAAATAGTTTGCAATAAATAATAAGTAATGACCTAGGTTTATGAAATATTTGAATAACAGGTGGAGATACATCTAAAATCAATTCCTTTCTCTATTCAAAAATACAAAATGCAATTGCAAAAAAAAAAAAATGCTTCTCTGTGGTGCAATTTAAAGAGCATTATATAATAGGCTTCTTTAAAACAAATCGGGTTCTCCAATCTAGCCCTTCAAGTGCGTCATGTTGAAAGTTAAACCCTCAACTTAACCAACCCTGCATTCGTTATAGTTAATTTGTTAATCCCCCAAAGAATTGACTTCAATGAATGCGACACTGTAGAGCTTTCGGATGTTTCCTTAAACAACCGATAGCTGGAAACTCAAGACAGACTTCTTCTTTTTTGTAATAGGGCACGCGCACTTAAAAGTATCGATTCAGGGTTTAGAAGAAGAAAAAAAGATAATACATGGCTGAATAAATGCATTCGTAAAGTGACCTCGATCAACTACTGCTAAAACATACAGATTTTTAGCCTTTAAAATCAGCAATTTATTGATTAAAATAATTTTTGGTTAATCCACTTTCCAAAGTAATCAATACCACAATCGCATGATCTGTTCAAGGTTATAAACCTGCATCCGATATCCTTCCGGGGGCTCTTCAATTGGTTAAGATCATCATTCCTAATTATCTGCTGGTTCTTTCGCTTCCGAAGAGGTGATTCGTGTCCTCTCGAAAGCGTCCCGGAACTAAGCCGTCGACCGTTGATAGTTCACCTTCTACGCGGTGTAGAAGGTCAACTATATAGGGATAGGCCTAATAATTGGCGGAGCTATGGGCTTCATGGGACATGGCCCTAAAATCGGAAGGCAAATGGTGGGGAGGCGGGGGGGGGGGGGGGGAAAGAGGGAAAGAAAGTGAGGGGGAATGTAATTAAAGGATAGAAAAGAGGATATGGCCCTCTTATATAATTATATAAAACTCCTTCACGACGAGGTAGCCTCGTCCGCCTCCATGTACAGGCCTACCGACTTCATTCGAGCTCTTTGCCACGTAGAGAGATGACGCAAGATCGATGACGGAACTTTGGGCTGACCTGGGAACATCAGGAAAGACTGGAAAAAGAGAAAATTAGAAAGAGAGAGAGAGAGAGAGAGATATATATATACAGACAGAGACAAGCAGAGACAGAGAGAGGGAAAATAAGCGAATAAGAGGAAGAGCGAGGTAATTAAAACATTAGTACGAATGTACATGCCTAAGATAGTTTGACATGGGATACATATTAATAAGGAGTAAACAAATATTTAAAGAGAGAGAGAGAAAGAGAGAGAGACAGAGAAACAGACAGACAGACACAGATATATAGATAATGAGAGAGAGAGAGATAGAGAGAGAGAGAGAGAGAGAGAGACAAAGAAATTCGGACACATTTCCTTACGTATCTTACATGAAGCATTTCTTTAAGCTTAAATTTAAAGAAAATATCTTTTTGCTCATGGTCATATAACTATGATTAAAATACAAAATAAAGAAATACACACATATTAAACTGTAGATGCGTATGTCTATTTCTAAATTTGAAGGAATGCTGTTCGATACATTTTGTTTGCGATTTAGATGCATTTTGAAACACTTTAAGTCTTTGACAGAATTGCATATGTATCTGCGTGATCTTTGATGACTAATAATTTTAACTTTATTGATGTTACATGTTCTCTAAAATGAGTTTAATATTATTTTGATGTTTCTCAACATCTGGCTGATCTAATTCGTAATAATCTAAGATATATATGATCCAATGATACTAGTGGTGACTTCTGATCCAACGCTCATGTTCGTCACGCCGTGATGCTCTTGGCGCTCACACATTATTACCCCAAGAGTTTTGTCATCTTGGTTACAGTAAAGTCACAGTTTCATCACAGTTTCACATTTCTTTTACTCTGTGCTAGCCCCAACCATGGACCCTACTACAGATGGACTAATAATGAGAGTCTTTCTTTGATCACATCATGACCACCGCCACCTGATAATCATGTTGATGAGGACATTCATTTGACGCGACAACGCTGATTATGTAATCCCGCATCATCACTTCCAAAGGAACCTTTTACATTTCTTCAGATTCTTTTCGCTGGGCCAGGGCCAAGAGTGCCCATAGGAAAGAAATGAGCCTGCCGCATACTCCTGCGGCAGACTTGCCGCAGATCTGCAGCAGACCTGCCGCAGACAGTCATCTTTTTCACATGCAAATTAGTTTTGCCGCAGACTTGCCGCAGACTTGCCGCATACTCTTTCAGTATGATGAAGAGTCTGCGGCAGGTCTGCCGCAGACTTGCTGCAGACTTGCCGCATACTCTTTCAGTATGATGAAGAGTCTGCGGCAGGTCTGCCGCAGACTTGCTGCAGACCTGCCGCATACTCTTTCAGTATGATGAAGAGTCTGCGGCAGGTCTGCCGCAGACTTGCTGCAGACTTGCCGCATACTCTTTCAGTATGATGAAGAGTCTGCCGCATACTCTTTCAGTATGATGAAGAGTCTGCGGCAAGTCTGCAGCATACTCTTTCAGTATGATGAAGAGTCTGCGGCAGGTCTGCCGCAGACTTGCTGCAGACCTGCCGCAGACTCTTCGTCATGAATATTCATATCTCATATAGACCTGCTGCAGACCTGCCGCATACTCTTTCATTTCAAGAACCAGTGATAAACTGACTGATACTTCATAATCGATATTGGCAATATCGATATTACCAATTAGGTAATACCAATATATATATATATATATATATATATTACCAATTAGGTATATTCTATTCTCAATTGTATTAACTTCATCACATTGATCATATGAAGTGTATTCAAGAGTAACATTTAAAGTGACACAGGCTCGTACACATATATATATACTAAATATGTATATTGTTTCTTGGTTAGTAATCATAGTTTCTTGGTTAGTAATCAATATATCTATTGCTTAAACGTGAATGTAATTGTAACATGATCAGACAAAATAATCTATTGGTTAATAATGGCAAAAGGAAAATAGAAATCACAAAAATGATGTGAATTGTCTTAATTTGCTTAACAAATCATGATAAATGTATTTTTCTGTCACACGTGTAAAGTAATAATGAATATGCATGAGATGATTGGTTTCAATTGGCCCTATTAGACTTTAATGGGATTTCCTGTGGCAGACCTGCCGCAGACTGTTCCTGTGGCGTACTGGTATGCGGCAAGTCTGGAGCAAAGTTTCGCCCTGCCGCAGATCTGCCGCAGACTGTTCCTGTGGCATACTAGTATGCGGCAAGTCTGGAGCAAAGTTTCATCCTGCCGCAGATCTGCCGCAGACTGTTCCTGTGGCATACTAGTATGCGGCAAGTCTGCAGCAAAATTTCATCCTGCCGCAGATCTGCCGCAGACTGTTCCTGTGGCATACTAGTATGCGGCAAGTCTGGAGCAAAGTTTCATCCTGCCGCAGATCTGCCGCAGACTGTTCCTGTGGCATACTAGTATGCGGCAAGTCTGCAGCAAAATTTCATCCTGCCGCAGATCTGCCGCAGACTGTTCCTGTGGCATACTAGTATGCGGCAAGTCTGCAGCAAAATTTCATCCTGCCGCAGATCTGCCGCAGACTGTTCCTGTGGCATACTGGTATGCGGCAAGTCTGCAGCAAAATTTCTTTCTGCCGCATACTTCGGCAGGTCTGCTGCAGATCTGCGGCAGGTCTGCGGCAGGTCTGCGGCATACTTTTCACGTTCCTATGGGTGTAGTTTCAGGAAAAGCACCGTGATTTAAGACCCGTTAGAGGAGCAGTGAACCCCAAATTAGGAAAATGTGTGTGGTATTAGATTGCTTATTAAAGAAGTGGACACTGGTGGACATACATTTGGACTTGCCAAAGTTAGAAAAATACCTATACTTTACTGCCCTATTATACCTTCTTTTCTGGGAAATGGATAGGATAAGTTTTTTTAAAGGAAGCCTTTAAAATCATTGAATTACAGCCAAATTTACAGGTATCTCTTGTAAACTACTTCTAATTTTCTATTGAAAACGTCAATATTCACATGTACGCCACAACTGCACATGCATTTCCGTGATTTTAAGCGATTCAGTTTCTTTTGCGCAGGCATTTTGTTGATTCATAAAGGCACAGTTTGGGTTTTTATGGCTGACTGGCGTGGTCGTGATGTGATCAAAGCTTGGAAACATGTTTGGCATGTCATTATGATACTTTTGCCAGAGTCAGGTGCATGAATGTATTATGGTACCGATCAGTGTCCATTTGTAGTAGGTCCATGCCCCAACAAAGCGGTATTCGCCATATAAGGGAGTTTACAGATACAATCTGCGCATGGGCAGATAAAGGTCATTTGTACCAAAAAGGTAAAACCCACAGAGATGAATACTGGATATGCGCTCATGAAAGTTATGTAACATTATTCATTTATGCACCAACGGTACATTCTATGATACGCAGGTGGAAGTATTCTTTTCAAGAGGGCAAACAAAAGGTATTCATGAAGCACATCTAGGACTTTGGCAGTTATTATTCTAATATGCTCAAAGTGGAACTTCTCCATGACTTGTGTAAAAAATCTGTGGATATTTGGGGTCATGTGTACCATGTGCTATCTGTAAACTCCCTTATTGTGCCCAACTCGAACTGGATTGGCCAAATAATCAAATGGCTCTGATGGCTCCGGTCATTATAGTCGAGTGGCCAAATAGGTAGGACTTTAGCACACCGGGTACCCATTTACACCTGGGTGGTTTTAGTGGCAAATGTGGATAAATGTCTCACCGAAGGAAGTCAGTGCTGGTCTGGGATTCGAACTCTCAACATTTTATTTGAAGTCAAGTGAATGAACCGCTATAATACCACATCACCTCCATTTAATCAATAAATAATCCAGGGCCCTAGCTCATAGAACAGAATCAAAAAATAAAAAGTTCTTTGTCGTATTCTTTATGTTTTAGAGCATGGGTGTCGATACTTACGTAATACCTATTCATCAGGGGGGGATGAATGAATAGATCATCCCCCCTGATGAATAGGTATCAGTTACGGATCGACACCCATGTTTTAGAGGCTTCCTTGGTTATGTCAGTGAATGGAAAATCCCACCATATGCTCTTAGATACTTGAACTTAAAGCGCAAAATTAAGTGGTGTGTTTGTCGATTTCCTAAGGGCGCTTGATATATCCTGTTCTCGAAAGGTGATCCTTGTTAATCCTCTTACAAACATCAGCCTGCTGGTGGCTTTTGACCTTCAGATTTGTCTCAGAAAAAGTGTTCTAGCGGAGTCTGCTTCCCAAGTCTAACCGAAAAATCCCAAAGAAGATAAAATGGCGAGAACCGCGAGTGAAATCGGCACAGTACATCTGGAACGGGTCGAAGGTGTTAGCTAAAGTATCAGCGAAGAGCTTATCATCAACCGACTTTGAATTGGCGACTTCATCTTTCCAGCAGCGTGTATCACCCATCGCCATCTTAACATCATAATGATGTTCGTGGGTTATCTAGTAGTGTGCTTCTTAGCAACAGCGGTGAACGCTCAGACTAGTAAGTCAGAAGATAATATTGATTCAATTATCCTTATGATCAAAATGGTGTATCTATAAATTGTATTTCTTCTTTTGTTTCAAGTAAGGGTGTAGATTTGTCCTCGGCAATAATCGAGAGAAAGGAGCTGAAGCATCTTGTCTGAATATCAAATAGTTTGAGCAGAGGAGGATATTTTGAATGTATGTGTGTATGTATATGTGTGAGCGTGCATGTGTGTTTGTATCATGTTATTTTAAAGTTTTTAAACTGAATAATTTATGTGTAGTTTGTTTTTCTTTTTAAGGCCCCACCACAAGCAATTTGCTTCTAAGGGTGTCCTTTACCGTATTATGTTTACTATGTTACTCATTTGTATGTACATGTTTCATTTTATGGTTAAATAAACTTTACTCTACTTACTATCCTGTTTCTAAATTTGAGAGGGAGCAAAGCGAGCAAGAAAAGAACACACGCTTAACTACGCTAAAAAAGTTATGTAGTACTGAATCCATTGTTTTAATTTACAATGGCGCGATAACATACAATGGTTACATTATTCTGACATTTTGCTTCAATATGAGGATATCCGAGCACCTCAACGTCTGAAACCATTCTGTTTTCTTAATTATGTGAGTGAGCGAAGCGAGTGAGCCAAATGAAACGATACTTCATTATCTTTTCAATCTTATTTTATCACCCAAAACACGTTAAATAAAATGATTATGAAATTGTTTATTTTCTTGCACCTTGCTGCCCTTATAATTTAGAGCATGTTCCGGCACCTAGCAGAGGTGACGATTGCCCAAATATCGGAAATGTTAATGTCCGGGGGGGGGGGGGGGGGTTCTAAGCGAAGAAATGGTGCATTTTAATGAATGAAAATCTTCGCGGATTCGAGGATAATTTAGATTTGGCTTTTATACCAAGGTTTGAAAAACGACAAGTAGCTGGAATGTTCCCAAGGTGTGCAGAATGTGCGCGGTAATGTATAGAATTGTGTAATTGAATCAAAATGTGTCAAAGATAATGTTGGGTGTCCGGACACATAAAATCTTCTCCTTTGCCTTCGGATGTAACGGAAATATTCATCAAATAGCACTAACCATCATGAATATATTTTGTCCTTTCATGATATTGTCCAACATAAGTCTCAGAAGATTTATTAAATATTGCATGTGTTCTAAATTCATCAGAATGCTGTTTTAATTCAACTGTCCGGATACACAATCTGTCGGGAAAGCGCTTTGGTTGGTTAACTTACAAAGTGCTGAACTCAACTGCGATTAATCACCATCATTATTGTAATCATTATTATTATCGTAGTCGAGTGGTTTAAGCACTTGACTTGAAATTTAAAGGTCGTGGTTCGATCCCCGACACGCGCTAATGTCCTTTGGCAAGGCATTAATCTTTATTTGCCACACTCGAACCAGGTGAGGTAAATGGGTACCTTGCAGGAATCAATTCCTTCAAATGTTTGAACAAATGGGAAATTTGTCCGGGGCTATATCAGAGACATTACCGATTCATCATATTTTGAAATCCCCATACGTATAGTATTTCAACTTTCAAAAATTAAGCACTCTCTTAATTTTTTTGTTCGATTTCGTTTAAACTTTCACCAGTCTGCTTTAATAAAAAATTATAGTCTGCTTTCTTTTATAGTTGTTTGCTATTTATGTTGGATTTCCCCTTAATTGCCGTTTATTGCATATTACATAACGTCTCTATCCGATTCCAATGGAGTTGAATAATTACCCCAGCTTAATTTATAGACCAGTTCTGGTCATGCGATTGCATTGTGAAAGAAACGGTGTGGAATTGATCAAAACAGGTCGATCATCTAGCATATAAGTATTGGTGTGTACTACAAGGTTCTAGAATCATCAAAATGATTAAAAAAACTGGCCCAGTCTTGGTAAAGTTACAAGCACTGTACACAGAAAGATGATTATGGGACTACGCGATATCTATCCAGGCCGGATCGATATGATAATTTACCAAATATATTAATTAGTAGGCGGTTTCCCGGCAAAATTTGTATCATCATGATCATGTATTAGTCAAAACATATTCTTTCACACGATTGGTAATAAGAGCTTTCATTTCATTTTTTTTAAAGGGGGGCGTTTCCAAAACGGGTCTATACCTTTAAGCTTATAAGCATTATCGTCACCATCATCATGATAATTATTATTATTATGATTGATATTATTGTTCATGATAATGCATTATTATTAATGCTACTATACTATTATCATTATTATTATTATCATTATTTTTATTACTATTATTAATATTATTATTATTATTGTTATTGTTATCATCATTATTATTATTTTTGTTATCATTCTTGTTCATATTATTACTATTACTCTTTCGCATATTAGCTTTAGAAGTAAGACTAGTTGATGGAAGCGTTGCAAACGAAGGCAGAGTTGAGGTTTATTACGATGGAGCCTGGGGAACTGTCTGTGATGACTCGTGGGATGACACCGATGCTGGAGTTGTCTGCCGAAGTCTTGGATTCGCTTCTGGAACTGGGGTAGGAAACGCTGAATTCGGACAAGGTTCAGGGGATATCATCCTGGATGATGTATCATGTACCGGAACCGAAACAAGTCTTGGTGATTGTGATAATGCTGGTCTCGGTGTCCATAACTGTGGGCACTCTGAGGATGCTGGAGTACGCTGTTCAACAGGTAGAATGTTTGTCTAGACCTCCCATTTATTAATACTATATTCCTATAGCGCCGTACTCGAAAATAGTGATGTAAGATTTTACCATGGAGTTAGTAAAACTCCATGATTTTACAGCCCGTTGGAAAAATTTTAATGATTGGTTACAAATCTCCTTATTTTCGAGAATCACACAACGTACGGCATTAACAATATACTTTAAAATGTCTGTGATTTTTACTTTCTCTGCTCATGTATAATGTGTAAACCCTAGCATTCTAAATCAAACTATATCGCAAAACGTCACTGAAAGGAGACATCAATAAATTGTACAGCTGTGCAGTGTCAAACCTTGGCATCTTAACGGACAATTCAACCATTGTAACAAGTTCATTTGTTTGAAAGCAGAAAATTAAGAGAAACGGGAGGGCGAAAGATTGAATTAATCCCAGGTCATACATTAATAATTAAAAAAAAAAAATTAGTCATTTTTTGTGTTGGAACAAATGGAAAAGTTGTCCGGCGCTATATCAGTGAAATTACCGATTCATAATATTTCAAAGTTCCAATTCCTATAGTATTACCACTAACAAACATTCGCAACTCGCTTTATTTTTTGGTTCGATTTCGTTCAAACTTTGACCAGTCTTTTTCTTTAATTTTAGTCTGCTTTCTTCTATATTTCCAAATAAATGCCGTATATAGCATAATAAATAATGCTAACACGTCTCTATGCGATTCCAAAGGAGTTGGATAATTACCCCATCTTAAGCTTATAATCATCATCATCATAATGATCACCATCATCATTATCATTGTTATTACTTTTTTTTATTATTGCTACTACTAATGTAGCACAATGACCACTTAAACAACAGGTCGATAAAACTATGGTGTAGTTTAGGAAAGGATTTGTAAGATTTTCGATTGATTTATAAGGGGATTTGTTTATTTTTCAAAAGAAATTTCAGCACATATTAAATTATAAACAATAACAAATATTTGTGTGTGAAGTAGTTCGACTGCCTTACTAACACCGATTTCATCAAATGCGCTGTACTGTTCTGTTTCAGGTGTTCGTCTTTTCGATGGTATCACGCTAGGAGAAGGTAGGGTTGAGGTACTTTACAATGGAGAATGGGGAACTGTCTGTGATGACGGGTGGGACTTGACTGATGCCAACGTAGTCTGTGAGTCCCTTGGACTTGGTGCTGCAACAGATGCTTTCCAGTCGGCTTTCTTTGGTCAAGGCACAGGAACCATCGTTTTGGATGACGTCTCCTGCTCCGGTGACGAAACGAGTATCTTTGACTGTGGGAATGCGGGTCTTGGAATCCACAACTGTGGTCATTCAGAAGACGCAAGTGTACGATGTGAAAACGGAGGTATGAACATGGGCGTGTGCGGATTTCGCGATGAGGGGGGGGGGGGGGGGGGGGTGAAACATAAGGTTTTTGTTCCAAGAAGGTCAGAACCCTTCCAACCTTTGGGGCCTCCACCTCGAATGGACTTTCGACGGTTTCGTTGTAGCTCCAAAATGTAGCTACGTTAACTACCTGCATATACCCCAAACCACCAATTTAGTTTTTCGTTTTTGTTCTCATAAATATTTCATAATATTTCCAAAGGAAATGTTGAATAATTATTTTGTTAATTTCAGATCCACAGTTATTTTCACGACTTATTAAGCTTAAAATGGTAGCAGGGTAGGGTGATATTAGAGGGAACAGATCGATCAATTAAGAAGCTTAGAGATATACTGTAAAATTGTGGCAATGTAGATCATGGACGAGGCAAAAACGACTTATCAGCCCCCTTAATGATGGCTGGAAATGATATGGTTTCCACAGTTTTAAGTAAATCCGCATCAAAAAAGTGGCATGGGTGCGTAGCGAACTAATGACAAAATCTAGATTTTTTAATTTAGATTTGTTTGCATCTGCTTTTTTTGTTGATAGGGGCTCCAGAGCCCCCTCACATTTTTACCGTTTTAATACAGACAAGTCTGCTCTAATCCGATCAAATGAAACAATTTCAGTAGCTTATAACTGTAAGCTGTTATTGATAATAATTTCTATGATACAGGGCCCTCCATAGTTACGTCGTTGTTCTCTGCCGGTTTTCCTTGTCCTGTTTCTCTCCGTTTCATTTTTTTGTGAGTGTTTTTTTTATTACCTCCCTGTAACGATTTTTTCTTTTCTAATAATGACGTTAATAGAACACTGATGCTCTCCCTCATCTATCATTCTCTCTCTCTCTCTCTCTCCCTCCCTTCTCATTTTCTCTCCTCCTCTCTCTCTTTCACGAATAATGTATAGTACGACTGGTTGCTGGAAGCGATGCAAGCGAAGGAAGAGTTGAGGTTTATTACAATGGAGCCTGGGGAACTGTCTGTGATGATTCGTGGGATGACACCGATGCTGGAGTTGTCTGCCGAAGTCTTGGATTCGATTCTGGAACTGGGGTAGGAAGCGCTGAATTCGGACAAGGTTCAGGGGATATCCTCCTGGATGATGTATCATGTACCGGAACCGAAACAAGTCTTGGTGATTGTGATAATGCTGGTCTCGGTGTCCATAACTGTGTGCACTTTGAAGATGCCGGAGTCCGCTGTTCTCAGACAAATTTTGATGGTAAAATGTTCGTCTAAACATCCCATTTATTCTTAGAACTATCCACTCCAATTCACAGAGTATTTGGTGTAGCGCTCTTTACTTCCTTGTCTTGGAAACAACAACTGTGGAAACACGCGCGCCTAAGAATTCTGTGATTGGGGGTAATGGGGGGGGGGGGGGGTGGGAGGGGGCAAACATTCGAGAGGGCTCTCCTTTCAGGGGCAGTGTCGTAATGAGCAAAAATGTTTGGGGAGGCAGAAGAAAAATCTGCATCACCACCACTCTTATTTGTTACATACAAGTATTAACGATCAGGTAGAGCGTAGCGAGCGTAAATTGGCGTGGGGTCCAGAGGCTTTGCACCGTTGGGGCTCAAGGGGCGAGCCCCGAAAGCTCAGGTGTTTTAGGCATTTAATTATGGTCAGATAAGCGTATTTAGATCCCTTATTTGTGATACTGGCAGGTCACTTATTGGCATGGGGTCCAGAGGGACTAAGCCATATGAAGCTCAGGGATTGAGGTATTTAAATGCGGTCAGATGAGCATCCAGGGGCCCGCCTTAGGGCCTTGGTTGGGTCCAGGAGGAGGAGCCCCCGTATTATGCCACTGGCAGGTCACTGTTTTTTTTTCTTTCTCTCCTTCTTTCTTTTTCTCTTTAACGTACTTTTTTATAAGTGAAGGGGCTCGAGCCCGCCGTACCCCGCCGTTCTGCAGTCCCTGACCTGAAGATTAGTCATATTTGATTTTTTTAAAAAAGTAGTCTCTTTATTTTTTTTTGGATTTCGTTCAAACTTTCACCAGTCTGCTTTCTTATATAGTTGTTTGCTATTAATGTTGGATTTTCTTTGAATGCAATAATATCACATGCCATTCCAAAGGAGTTGGTTAATATTTGTGTGTGAAGTAGTTCGACTGCCTTACTAACACCGATTTCATCAAATGCGCTGTACTGTTCTGTTTCAGATGTTCGTCTTGTCGATGGTATCACTCTAGGAGAAGGTAGGGTTGAGGTACTCTTCGATGGAGAATGGGGAACTGTCTGTGATGACGGGTGGGACTTGACTGATGCCAACGTAGTCTGTGAGTCCCTTGGGCTTGGTGCTGCAACAGATGCTATCCAGTCTGCTTTCTTTGGTCAAGGCACAGGAACCATCGTTTTGGATGACGTCTCCTGCTCCGGTGACGAAACGAGTATCTTTGACTGTGGGAATGCGGGTCTTGGAATCCACAACTGTGGTCATTCAGAAGACTCAAGTGTAGTATGTGAAAACGGAGGTATGAACATGGGCGTGTGCGGATTTCGCGTTGAGGGGGGGGGGGGGGGGGGTGAAACATAAGGTTTTTGTTCCAAGAAGGTCAGAACCCTTCCAACCTTTGGGGCCTCCACCTCGAATGGACTTTCGACGGTTTCGTTGTAGCTCCAAAATGTAGCTACGTTAACTACCTGCATATACCCCAAACCACAAATTTAGTTTTTCCCTTTTGTTCTCATAAATATTTCATAATATTTCCCCCAAAAATGTTGAATAATTATTTTGTTAATTTCAGATCCACAGTTATTTTCACGACGTATTAAGCTTGAAATGGTAGCAGGTTAGGGTGATATTAGAGGGTACAGATCGATCAATTAAGAAGCTTAGAGATATACTGCAAAATTGTGGCAATGTAGATCATGGACGAGGCAAAAACGACTTATCCGCCCCCTTAATGATGGCTGGAAATAATATGGTTTCCACAGTTTTAAGTAAATCCGCATCAAAAAAGTGGCATGGGTGCGTAGCGAACTAATGACAAAATCTAGATTTTTTAATTTAGATTTTTTTTGCTTCTGCTTTTGTTGTTGATTGGGGCTCCAGGGCCCCCTTACATTTTTACCGTTTTAATACTGTCAAGTCTGATATTATCCGATCAAATGAAACGATTTCAGTAACTTATAACTGTAAGCTGTTATTGATAATAATTTCTATGATACAGGGCCCTCCATAGTTACGTCGTTGTTCTCTGCCGGTTTTCCTTGTCCTGTTTCTCTCCGTTTCAATTTTTTTGTGAGTGTTTTTTCTATTACCTCCCGGTAACAATTTTGTCTTCTCTAATGATGGCGTTAATAGAACTCTCTCTCTCTCTCCCTCATCTATCATTCTCTCTCTCTCTCTCTCTCTCTCTCCCTCCCTTCTCATTTTCTCTCCTCCTCTCTCTCTTTCACGAATAATGTATAGTACGACTGGTTGATGGAAGCGATGCAAGCGAAGGCAGAGTTGAGGTTTATTACAATGGAACCTGGGGAACTGTCTGTGATGACTCGTGGGATGACACCGATGCTGGAGTTGTCTGCCGAAGTCTCGGATTCGGTTCTGGAACTGGGGTAGGAAGGGCTGAATTCGGAGAAGGTTCAGGGGATATCCTCCTGGATGACGTATCATGTACTGGAACCGAACCCAATCTTGGTGATTGTGATAATGCTGGTTTCGGCGTCCATAACTGTGGGCACTTTGAAGATGCCGGAGTCCGATGTTCTGGGACAAATTTTGACGGTATAATATTTGTCTAAACATTCCATTTATTCTTAAAACTATCAACGCCAATTCACAGAGTATTTGGTGAAGCGCCCTTTACGTGCTGGTCTTAGAAACAACAACTGTGGAAACAGGCGCGCCGGAAGCAGTTTGGGATAGGGGGCTATGGGGGGGGGGGGGGAGGCAAACATTCCAGGGGCACAACTTTCAGGGGCAGTGTCGTAATGAGCAAACACATTTTTTTTTTTTTTTTTTTTTTTTTGGGGGGGGGGGGCAAAGTCTGCATCACCACCACTCTTATTTGTTACATGCAGGCCCCGCGGAACGTTTTTCAAAGTGAAGTATTATTATTGACGATCATGTAGAACGTAAATTAGCGTGGGGTCCAGAGGCTTTGCCCCGCTGGGGGTCAAGGCGCGGAGCCCCCGGAAGTTTAGGTGTTTTAGGCATTTAATTATGGTCAGATAAGCGTATTTAGATCCCTTATTTGTGATACTGGCAGGTCACTAATTGGCATGGGGTCCATGTGGACTAAGCCCTATGAAGCTCAGGGGTTTGAGGTATTTATATTTATATTTGTATTTGTATTGTGCAAATTGATCTATATGTATATAAATATGTGAATATGTTAAAATGTACCATCATACATTGTAAATATGAACGATTGAAAAAGGAAAAATAAATGAATTGACTTGAATTGAATTGAAAATTGAATTTAAATACGGTCAGATGAGCATCCAGGGGCCCGCGCTAGGGCCCTTTTTGGGGTCCAGGAGGAGGAGCCCCCGTATTATGCCACTGGCAGGTCACTGTTTTTTGTCTTACTTTCTCTCTTTCTTTCTTATGCTCTTAACAAACTTTTTTTAAAGTGAGGGGTGTTCGAGCCCCCAGAGCGCCGCCGTTCTACAGGTCCTGACATGAAGATTCTTCATATTTGTAGTTTCCAAAAACTCTGACTCTCTTTATTTTTGGATTTCGTTTAAACTTTCACCAGTCCGCTTCATCTTTGATTTTAGTCTGCTTTCTTATATTTGTTGTTTGCTATGAATGCTGGATTTCCCTTTGAATGCCATACATCGCACATTACATTATGATATAACGTCTCTATGCGATTCCAAAGGAGTTGGGTAATAACCACCACAAGGTCAGCGATTCGAGTCCTGTCGCGGCACTAATGTCCTTTGGCAAGACATTGATCTACATTTGCCACACTTAACCAAGGTGAGGTAAATGGGTACCTGGCAGGAATTAATTCTTTGAAATGCTAGAGCGCCGCAATGGCAGCACAGCTAAAGGAGGGGTAATAATCTCCAAGTTTGGAAGCGCTTAGTGATTCTAATAGGCGCTATATAACAACTGAGTATTATTATAATTATCATCATAATCATCACCATCGTCATTATTATTATTATTATTATTATTATTATTATGACTATTTTATTATTATAATTATTGCTATTATTATTATTATTATTATTATTATTATCATTGTTGTCATCATCATCATCATCATTATTATAATTATTTTAGTTAACATTTTTGTTCATTTTCTCTCCTCCTCTCTCTCTTTCACGAATAATGTGTAGTACGACTGGTTGATGGAAGCGATGCAAGCGAAGGCAGAGTTGAGGTTTATTACAATGGAGCCTGGGGAACTGTCTGTGATGACTCGTGGGATGACACCGATGCTGGAGTTGTCTGCCGAAGTCTTGGATTCGATTCTGGAACTGGGGTAGGAAGCGCTGAATTCGGAGAAGGTTCAGGGGATATCCTCCTGGATGATGTATCATGTACTGGAACCGAAACCAGTCTTGGTGATTGTGATAATGCTGGTTTCGGCGTCCATAACTGTTTCCACTTTGAAGATGCCGGAGTCCGCTGTTCTCAGGCAGTATCAGCAGGTATGTTGTTGATTTAATACTTTCCTATCTATTATTCACAGAATATTTGGTGAAGCACCTTTTCTTTGCTGGTTTCGGAAACAATCACTGTGGACATCATGAAGATACAAGCATGTGATGCCAAACTGGATGGATTCATATCCACTCCCAACGTGCACTGCCTGGAAAAAAATATTATCTAAAGATCATAACTGAGAGACCACGGGTGTGAGCAACCAGTGGCATGAATGGCCTGCCATAGTTAAGTCTAACTTAAATTCGATCTTAGTCTGTGTGAAACACTCTCCTGGACTGTTTGTCCATTCGTCATAGCGACGTTCCCGACCGATCACACATGCACCAGAGAATTACGCACGCAAGAGGATCATAATTATAGCACATTGAGAGAGGCAGTTGTGACTACGCGTATACAAGCGAGTGCGGTCATATATAGTTTAATCCATAGCATCTCAGAGTGTTGTTAATTTGTAAATGTATCAGTTTCCCTCCTCTAGTTAGCAACTCTCAACGTTATGTTTAACTCCTTCATAATTAGAAAAAGAATATGTTTATTAAATGAACCATAGTGAAAGGAGATTGAAAAATTAAATCCCAAAATTGCAAATTTGTAAGCACGAAAATAATGATTTTAGATTTTACACTTTACAAACTTTAGCGACTTGAATGATTAGTTACAATAAAATCGCTCTTATTCGAGAACCTCACTTCGTACTATTTTGAAAATGGCGGACTTTAAAATGTCTGTGATGTTTTGCTTTCTTTGCTCGTGTATAATGTGTAGATCCTAGCTTTCCAAATTTAAGGACATCGCAAAACGTCACTAAAAGGAGACATTAATGATACGGCTGTGGGTCAAATATTGACATCTTAAACTTAGGGCAATCCAACCCTCGTAATACCTTCATTTGTTTGAATGAAGAAAAATAAAAGAAACGGGATAGCGAAAGTTTGAAATAAATCTGTAATAAGAGAATTATGAATATTTGATATTTGAAATATGAGATCACTAAAGCTATGCGAATTGGCAATTTTATTGGTAAATAATTGACGTCGTGGACAGCTCTCTCGTTTATCGTGTATAAAAATATCACTCATTTATGTTTTTCTTCAAAGTAAATTCTTCTTTTATTTTCTTTGAAAAAGTAAATTCTTCTTTGGGGGCACTACTCAAAATATATTATCGATAGCTAATTGTAGGTCATCTAAGGAGAAAAGACCACCTCGAGTCATGCATTTTGAAAAAGATGTAATTTTAGTCATTCATTTTTGTGTGTTGGAACAAATGGGAAAGTTGTTCGGCGCTATATCACAGTGACATTATCGATTCATCCTATTTGAAGTTCCAATACGTATAGTCTTACAACTTTCAGAAATGTCTAATTTTCTTTTTGTTGTTGTTCGATTTCGTTCAAACTTTCACCAGTGTGTTTCTCTGATTTTAGTCTGCTTTCTTCTATAGTTGTTTGCTCTTAATGTTGGATTTCCCTTTAAATGCCGTATATCGCATTATGATATAACGTCCCAATGTGATTCCAAAGGAGCTGTAGAATTACCCTAGCTTAAGTTGATAATACTGATCATCATCATCATTATCACCATCATCGCTGTTATTTTAATATTATCACTATTGATAGTATTAATTATTATTAATATTATTTTTATTATCAGTATTGTCAATGAAAATATTATTATTATTGCTACTACTACAATTATTATCATTATTATCGTTATTATTATTATTGTTACCACTATTGTCGTCATCGTATCAACAATATCATTATTTATTGTTATTTTTTCGTATCATTAATATTATCTCTCTTTCGCATTATAACTGTAGAATTACGACTGGTTGATGGAACCTGCAACAGCGAAGGCAGAGTTGAGATTCTCTACGACGGAGTCTGGGGAACGATTTGTGATGACTTCTGGGATGACACCGATGCTGGAGTTGTCTGCAGAAGTCTTGGATACAGCTCGGGAACTGCGGTAGGAAGCGCTGAATTCGGACAAGGTTCAGGGCCTATCATATTCGACGATGTCGAGTGTACCGCTGGAGATACCGCTCTGGAGTATTGTCAGAGCAATGCTCCCTTCGAAAATAACTGCTCGCACTTCGAAGATGCCGGTGTCAGATGCACTGAGTGAAGGTAAATATACTAAGCATGACCGGGCACGATTCATAAAACCTATCATTAATACCAAGTTAAGATAACTGTTACAAGCTACATAAAGAACTATATCAGGGACCCGTTTCACAAAGCCTTTTTTCAATGACAAATTACAGAAATCAGTGACAAATCTGCTTATAACCAATCAGAAGCTAGGATTTCAGTAGCGTATAACAAAAACTGTCATTTGTCACTGATGACAAGTTTGTGAAATAGGGCCCTGATTGGCTGTCAGCGAATTTTTCATTGAAATTTGACACTTGTTATTGACGGTAAGTTTAATGAAACGAGGGGATAGGGGGAGGGGGCACAGCAGAGGGTACATTCCAATTCATCCAAATGTTAGGGTATATGTAGATATTAAATTCATAATTTAGACCTATTATTATTACTTTTTCTAGTTGTTGTTGTTGTTGTTGTTGTTGTCAGGGAATGCTTCAACCCAAACCAAACCTGGTTCCATTTTAGGGCCTTTTCATAGAACTTTCGGACTTACTTGTGCCGCCCCTTCTACTTCTCTATGATAAATCAGCGTAATCCATTCTTCTCATTCTCTGGTAGTTCTTTTCATCCATGACGTCATGGTGTGTGAAGGATGATAACAGTTTTTTTAGGACGTCTTGAAGTATATATCGCTAAAACCAAAAATATTTCTCATCATATGTCATTTTTATCATGCATTTTAACTTTTAAAATGGTAAATGAGTTATGTGAATGTTTTTAGAATCATTAACACCTGAAAATCATAGTAGCTTCTATTTCATTTGTATTCTTTTTAATTTTCAGACGATGCTGAGAGAACGTGTACACCTCGAGCGTTCCAGTGACCCGATAAAAAAAAAATTGCCACTCTCTTCCATCTGTACTCTTCTTCATGTTATCTATTATCAACGATTAACTCTTATATATCTATATTGCATTTGGTCAGCTGGTATTATAAAAACACATTGAGGTATAATGTTCACCATAGGTTTTAAAAATGCTAAAGTTGGCTTTGTGTAGTGCACAGCTGTCTCGTTTATTACCGGTTGCTCGTGCTTCTTATAATAATTGAAAAGTCACTATTCATAGAAGGTGTATGTTACGAAAGACGAAAAGATAGTACCTAGATAATTCCATAAACTGAATAAATATCAAGAAGTACAGAATGAAAACGAAATACGTCATATCACAATGATATTTTATAGGTATCACTCCAAGTAAAAATAAATAAATAAAAAAAAACCCAAACCAATCGAAATAACATATACATTGCTAAAATCAATGATAGTGATTAGTGGTAATGAAAGTCACATTTTCAAAGCCGATTTATTTCTGCCAAAAAATATACAGTCATTCTGTATTATAATGTCTTCAAGACACATATTATACAGAACTACGTATTATATGATGACATTTTTAAGTGTTTTCTTTAAAAGAAAATCCTAATCAAATCTAAAGTGGATGTAAATTAATTCTAATATTTCCCTACATTTATTAGATATTCAATCATCTTGGGGACGGAAATTTCGATATTGATCACCATGTATTTCAAATCGTAATTTTCTTGTATGATTTTGATAGATAATCAAAATTGGTGGGATAATGTGAAATAAAACTATTTAAATCGTAAAATCTGGGGGTCGTTCGTCGATATGCAAATGTTTTGTGTAAAACTGTTGGTGTTTTGGGTACAAAGAATTTGATAGTCAAATTGTTTTCACACCTCCCTTCAATTTGATTATGATTGGTGGTAGGGGTCTACTAACTGGATCCAAATTGAAATTATTCTCTGGTATCTTTGGGATTAAAATCTTTCTGCATTGCACGTTGTTTGTATCGTATGTTCCTTTGTCTACTGTCTCAAAGAATTTCAAGAATTCTACTCAAAGGCAATTTCAATACCCTATATATCATATTCAGACAACGTAATATGTCACCAGGTGATGGACAATGCGTTGAAATTGCCCGAGGTTGAATTTTTTGATAAATGTTGATAAATTATAATTATAGTTGATGGGGGTGGATTAAAAAACTCTTCGCTAAACTCAGGGAATTTATTACATAGGGAGTGAATGAGGCACAAGTGGGAAATAGAATGGAGAGAGAGAGAGAGAGAGAGATCATGTCTATGTATGAAAAGGAGAGAGATGTATGAGAACGAGAAGAGGAGGAAGAAATCAGGAAAAGAAAAAGAGATAGGGAAAGAAAGATGGAGACTGAATGAGATAGGGGAAGAGAGAAGGAGAGATTGAGACTGGAACTTATCAAGATATAAATAATTGTGAGATAGAGTGAAGTCTGGACGAGTCAGAGACAGAAATATACCCATTAATTGGTTACGCATAGAGTATACATGTACGTACATACGCGCACACCCAACATGGACCCAACCTTTTATAACTAAATTATTTATATCCTGCATCAAAAATTTGTTGGCTTTTGATTGGTTGAGAGCTCGTCACATGACCAGAAATATTTGACCTATTTTTAGAAAGTACTATATGAGAGTACTATTTTGGTTTACTATTTGGGAGTTGAGTTTTTTTTTTTTTAATTGAATCAATTTTTTTTCTTCAAATCTTAATTTAATGAAAACATTTTTTTAAAAATCTTCTGAGATAAAAATTGACATTTTGTTTGTTCTAAAAAAAAATTCCCCCCATTTAAAAAAAAAAAAAAAAAAAAAAAAAAAAAATGTTTGATGCAGGATATAAAACAAATATACCATGCCTTCTATTCGAGGTACTGGTTAAACTATGGGCCTCGGTGACTCCAAAAGTACCATTTGCTTCGGGGCTGCGCCCCTAAGCAAATAGTATAGGATTTCCCGGCCAAATTCGCGAGTTTGTCATTCAAATTAATTTGTCTTGCGTTCAAATTCGACGGTTTTAGTGCAGTCAGGTATATCTCGGGTTTATATTCCCTTTTCTAGTTTTCAAATCTATGGAATTTTCGTTAGAATCTACGTATGTTTCATTCCAATTAATGAAAAATGTGCTTCTTTCGCTATTTGGTCATTCGATTTGGCGCAACACGATTTTCTGACAACGCGACGGTGTACTTCTAGCATTCTAATTCATTTGTAGCATTCAAATAAGCACTTTGTGCACTTAAATTGATGGTCAATATACATTTCTCGTTTATTACACACTGTTTATAGCTCATTTTTTTTCTTTCAAGATTGTTTTTTCATGTGTATTTCATCATATTTCATTTTCTTGCATTTATACACTTATACTTATTAGATTTATCTCATATTCATCAGCATTTAAGTTTGATTGTTAAGAAGAAAAAAACGACTTGCATCTATGGACCTGATGGTCTCAGTATATTTGTAAATGTTCATGTAAGGAAGTTGTTTATCTTATGTTTCATCATAAATTTATCATAATTTCATCATAATTTCATTATGGAAGAAGGGTACAATATTGTGACTGGGGTAGGGACTAGAGTCAACAATTTGAACATTATTCATTATTTAGCCCTGTCTTTAGCCATCGATCTGCTGGTGGACAAGTGAACTATGAAACTTTTAAAGAAAAACAGAGGGGTGTGCTGGGTATAAGAGACGATGTGAATTACGTTTGTAAAATTCTGAGTCTGTAGTAAAAAGAGGCGATTGAGGGTACCCCCACCTTTCCCGGGTATATGAACATGTCCGTGCAGAAATGCCATATCCCTTGATTTCGCCCCTTCTTTACTTTATGTCTGACTACACCCATCTGCATTGTCCTGAAAATAAATAAATGGAATAACAGCTTAGACCCCAATGGCAAATCATGCATTTTAACTTGCTGCATTATTTAAAACTGTAAAAGTTTGTTGCAATTCTTCCCCCTAACATTCCTAACTTGAATAAAAATATTACGAATACGAATGACAGGTGTTAATTTGAATGATAACAATTACGCTTCGACAAGTGAATATTAATTTGAATGCTAGTTGAGCAGTTTCTAAATTGAATGACAGATCTATGAAACCCTTTGACCAAAATCCTAAATTAAATACAAAAACTGGAAAATTGAATGATAATTGGCATGGCAAAGCCAATCTGCGCTAACTTAAATGCAAAGTAAATGAATTCGAATGACAAACACGCGAATTTGGCCGGGAAATCCTATACTATTGGAGTCACCTCTTGCGCATAGTTTTAACCAGAACCTCTCAAGGCAGTGTATATTTGTATAATATGAACCAACAAATTCAAGATTTCCCGAATGATGTTTCATCGAGGCGGCACCTTCTTCTTTTCTTCTGTTGTTCTTCTTTTAGTTCTTCTTCTTCTTTTTTCCTCTTCCTTTTCGACTTTTGATTAATATGTGTGTGTGTGTTTGTTTGTGTGGGTGTGTGTGTATGTGCGTGCGTGTTTGCGTGTGCGTGTGCTTGTGCGTGTGTGTGTGTGTGTGTTTATGAGCGTGGGGGGTGGGGGGGGGTATCCCGCTCCTTGCCACTGTAGCTACCCCACTCAAACAGATATGTAATTTTTTCTTAAGAGTCTGTTTTAATTGATTTGCAATGATTGCAAATATATGCTCGATTGCAGATTATCTGCAATCGAGCATATATGCATTTTACAACACTAGGAGTAGGTATAGCACACCAAAAATAATTACAACAAACACAAGTTATTTGATGGTTGCAAATGATCAAGCTTCATAAAAGCTTCAAAAAAACAAAAAACAGAATTGAAATCGGTCAATGCGTTGTGATTTTATACCATTTTTTTGATATCGCAAAATTACCGAAAAACCTGCCAGAAATGGTCAAATTGTCAAAAATGGCATAATTCGACAAAGTTGACAACTTAATTATCACTTTCTTGGACTAAAATATATCATCTTTGTGGTAAAAAATACAAAAAAGATAATTCATATATCTATCACCGTTTTGAAAACAGAAGCCAACAAAATAAGTAATTTTTGCCATTTTTACGAATCTGCAGATATAAAAAAGTTGTGAAAATAACTAAGTCCGCCTAATTAATATGCGCATATGTAATCAAATCAAAACCGAACATGATACATCAGTGTAACCTATGTACATCAGACAGGTATGGAAATATATTTCATTTGTAATAAAATAAAACCATGAATATTCATCAAATATGCAAATTAGGTCATTTCAGCTAATTATATATTCGCGCACTCATTATGCAAATTAGGAAAGTCAAACTGTTCATTTTTGGGGCATTTTTTAAATCATATATTCATAGATCATATTTACACCAAATATTGACCTTAAATTCCTTATATTTTTGTAATGCCAATACAAAATAGCGGTGGAAATTACTTGGATCACCGTCACAGCTATTTCTTCATGTGTTTCACAAATAATTAAGAATTTGTAGACTTTCAGCTACATCACAGTATATCTGCCTTTTTCAAAGATGTCAGATTTGAGGATTTATGACGATTTTCCGAGATACCATTCAACAGGCCATAACATTCCACAGCGACTGAATTTCAGAGTGGCAGAAACTTTAGTGACCCCAGTACAGTTGTGGCTACCTTGAGTGTAAATAACAAATTAATTCAATGAGTGAAACACATGACGATATTGCATTTTTATAGGGGAGTTTTATACATTGAGGTGCATTTTTTTCACCACGCCGAATAGCAGCGCGAGTCAATGGGCGATCATGGGGCCATGTCACACATGGCTGAAAGACAATTTTCTAATTCAATAATTAACATATTTCCCACATGCCTATAACAATGAAACTACACAGAATTGTAGTTAAAGGTATGCGTGAAATGTATGTGAAATAAAAATTCAAAAATATTGGTTAGTTTTGTTTAAATACATTTACAAAAATTGCTATTTCTACCAACTGACTGCTGTTGTGTGTGTATGTTCGCGGGGCAGACTGTTTGCACAGGCAGTGTGATAACCCTATTAGGAGTATAACACAGATGAAAATCGTGCAAACAGTATAGCAGAACATAAGAAATAATTTGCAATAAATAATATGTAATGCTTAAGGTTTTTAAAATATTTGAATAACAGGTGGAGATACATCTAAAATGAACTGTCTCTATTTTTCTTTGATAGAAAATGCAATTGCAAAAAAGTCATACTCTGTGGTGCAATTAAAGAGCATTAACAGACTTCTTTAAAAAATTGGGTTCTCACATCCAGCCATTTAAGTGGGTCATGCTTAAAGTTAAACCCTCAATTTAACCAACCCTGACTTCGTTATGGTTATTTTTTTGACCCCCCCAAGGAATTGATTTTCATGAATGCGACACTATGCTTTGGGATGTTTCATTAAACAACCGATAGCTGGAAAGTCAAGACAGACTGTTTAAAAAATTTGTTTATAGAGCATGCGCACTTGAAAGTACCGATTCAGGGTTTAGAAGAAGAAAAAAAAGTTATTACATGGCTAATGCATTCTTCTTTTCTTCTTTTTCCCCTATCATTTATTAATTGAATAATACTTACATAAAAATCACATAATTATTATGATTAGAAAGAAAAATACATGACTTATATCACTAAATTAATTATACTTTTTTTCAACATAATTAATATTTTTTCCAGAAGTAATATTTTTCAACATTTGCCCTCCATAATATTTCGTTTAAAAATTCGAATATGTTTGTAAAATTACATTTTCTTTTTTTGTGTATATAAAACATAAGAAGCTAAATTATTTAATAGATTTTTAAAACCAGCATATTTTGAATGTAAATAATCACATTGCTTGCCTACAATTATATCACTGTAATCAATGTTTTCATTATCAAACAATACTTCTGTTTTTCTGAGAAAAATTAGGACCTTGTACCAAAATATGTTTGAGTAATCACAATAATAAAATGA